CGCCATCCCACCCGCGGGCCAGATCATCACATTCACAAACAAACACACCAGTGACAAAACAGCGCGTTAAAGATCCCTTGGACGTCCAAAATCAAGAGTAGTCTAATTAAGCCACCACCTGGGCAAAATAAACGATTAATTCCTATCAAACTGAAAAAAGTTTAATGTGTCCCGTGCACTCATATGACCTTATGCTGTAGCAAGCACTGTAAAACAGTTACTAAAAAAGAATCTGCCCTACCCCACCCCCTGTCAACAAATCTAAAAATTATGGAAGAGAATTAAAGATGTTCTGTGGGGCTAACTTTCTTTAATTCTCAAAGAACTCTCGCAAACTGTGTATTATTTCTCTAGACATGAACCTCAACAACAAAAAATGCTTAACATAGACACAATTAAATACAGACAGATACCAGATAAACTTATAGTAATGTATTGTAAGAATCAAAACCATCAGACTCACATCACAGTCCGGACACTGTACATGGAACTGTTTAACGCACTGTCCGTCTCTTGTCACCCAAACTTTGTATCCTTTTAGATCGCCGTTAGGTTTGGACGGCTTTTGCCAGCTCACCACAATGCCAGTAGCAGTGACTGAAGAACTACTTAAAGCACTAATGGGACCTGGTTCTGTGAACAAGACAAAGTTAGACAGCTTAAAACATGCTGTGAATACGCTTTTGAATACATTCTTTTTGTGCTTCTTTGAGCAACAAAGATTACAATGGAGATTGTCTAAAAAGGCCACTTATTGTAGGGAGAAAAAAAATATGGTTGTCTCAGACAGGTGGATGCTTTACACTGTGTCATTGTACTGACAAAATAACAAAAAACACAAGGGGGTTGTGGGTGGGTGGAAGAGGCTGTTTGTACAAGTGGTTGTCTTATACAGGTTGTCCTTAGAGCAGATTCGATTGAAATATCTCTGTATTTCACTTTGTATGAAGAAAAGTAAAACAAAAAACATGGGGAAGGGGTTTCACAGTCAAGTACACTAACAAAGGATGAAAGAAAATAGAAATCTTTCAGTACAATGATAGAATACATTTGATAATTCTATCAGAAATTTGATTTTTTAAATGAAAGAAAAATGTAAGCTCTGCATTTTTGTACAAAACTCAACTCAATCTGTCTTCTATCTGCATGTGGATCAGAGAAAACCCATCACATTGTGCGTGGTGATAACTTTTTTAATGACTTTATTATTTGGATATTTTTAAAAAAAACTATTCTTGAGCATTTTGCTCTTTAGTTGGGTGTTACTGAAGCTGTCTGGAAAAGTCTTGGCAATTCCAAACACACAACAGCGGTTTGTACATTCAATGACATGTTCAAGTACAACTCCCACTTACTCCCAGATTGTTCCCAGAGTGGTACTGCCCACTAGAACACTTGCACCTGGAGTTGACACAGCTAAGGATACTGTTCCCAAAAGTTTTAAGGCAACATTTTTTACAGGGAGATGAAAGAGGCCATTTTCCGCTGTACGTGTTGCTTGGAACACGGCACTAACCCTGAAAAATGTCTAGATTGTTTTCGGGAAGGCCATAGACGTGGCGATGAGAACTGCCTCAAAACAGCCACCGCTTTTGGCGACAGCCACAACAAAAATGCAAATATCCCCGCGGTACCCAGTGACACTGGTGAGACAGATCACGAGTCGGTGGACAATGACAGACAGGAAGGTGACACGGAAAATGAGGTCACCCATCAAGCGGTAGTGTCAGCAGCACATTGCCGGAAGAAGAAGGTGAGAGCGAGACCGAGGGACAGGTAAGCAGAAAAAGAAAAAGTTAAAAAAAGAAAGAAAAAAGAGCAGGAACACAAGAGAGGACAAACCCCAGAGAGAGGAGATGAAAGCTTCTCAAGTAAATAAAGGGGGTTTGAGAGACAAGGGCACAACCGGGGTAGAGAGTACATACTGCGCAGAAACAGAGAGTGAGAGAACAGACGAAAGAGGACGAGAGAGAGGCAAAATTTGTGTGGGTGTGTGTCTGTGTGTGTGTGTCTGTGTGTGTGTGTCTGTGTGTGTGTGTGTCTGTGTGTGTGTGTGTCTGTGTGTGTATGTGTGTGTGTGTGTCTGTGTGTGTGTCTGTGTGTGCATGGCTGTGTGTGTGTGTGTGTGT